GAGAACACGCAAGACTGCACCTCTATTAAGTTGCCAGATATTTTAACAGGTACTGGGGTTACAAAAATGAGACACTATCTTCCTCTAAAGGAGCTCAGTCCAGTAATGGAAGACAGACATGGAAAACCTCTTTGAAAGATTATTCTGCCAACAATGTGGAAGATGGATTGTAGAGGCAAGATCAAAGATAGAGAGGCCACTCAGGGCCAAATCCAAATGTCCAAATTAAGAGATGAGAGACCTCATCAATAGCAGTAGTGAAGGGATGCATGAGGAAGATACTAAAAAATCTGACCTGTCAACACTTGTTAATCAGTGGTAAATAAAAGTAGAATTGAGAATAATTCCCCATTTCTGGACTATTGTATCATTCAGCAAGGGAATATAGAAAATCAGGCTTGGGAAGAAGTGGTGAAGGCAGTTTGGAAGTGCAAAGTTTAAAGTGCCTGTGAAACATCCAAGTCTACATGTCAAACAGACAATTGGAAACACACATGGATCTAGAACTCACAAGGGAGGTTTCGTTAGAAACATTGACTTGTGAATCATTAGCATGTAGGTAGCACAGGAAGATGAACTAGTAGACATGACCATCCAGGAATGGTGAGGAGTTAGAAAGGGGGCAAAGTATAGAATCTTGACAACACTGATATTTAAGGAGCAGAAAGAAAATAACAAGGAATGCAGGTAGGAATGAGTGTAGCCCAAAGAAGCCTGTCTCAAGAAGGCAGAGACTCCGAAAATCAGGAGTAACCAATAGTGACAAATTGTAAAATGGGCTGACAATTATTGAACACTTATTATGTGGCAGACATTTTACCACTTTTATATATAGAAACCCACTTAAATCTATAATCCTCACTTCCCCCCACCAAAAAAAACCACCAAAGAACTCTATAAGGTAGGTTATACTGTAATCCTATTTTATAGATAAAGAAACTGAGGCACAGACAAGTTAAAGAGCCCACTCAAGGTCAACATGCAGGTAGGAAGTAGCCAGGATCTGGACCTAGGCAGTCTGGTTCTAGAGCCTGCACTCTTAACCTCTCAGTAAAGAAAGAGAGAAGTCCAGTATGCAAAGGACTGAAAACCATTTGAGTGCTGGAGCACTCAATGTTTGGCTGGAGCACATGACAAAAAGGGCATGCTCCATGGTTGAAGGAGCCATCAGCAAATTTAATCCCTGCCTTTTCATATGATATACAATAATGCAAAAAGCAAATTTTTCCACCCTACTTTAGCCAGGCTCAATTAGTCTCTCATAGTAGAGCCATGAGTGAATCTTAGAAAAATTAAAAGTTGGAGAAGCACCTACCAAATGTTCTCAAACCAGTTCTTACTTTAAAAACCTTTAGGAATCCACATGATAGATAGGACCTAGACCCCCTTTTTAAAAAGAACACTCCTCATATGGGTGGTAAAAAGAACACTCCTCATATGGGTGGTTTTTTTTTTTTTTTTTTTTTGGTGAGGAAGATTGTCCCTGAGCTAACATCCGTGCCAATCTCCCTCTATTTTGTATATGGGACACCATCACAGCATGGCTTGATGAGCGGTGTGTAGGACTGTGCCCAGGATCTGAACCTGCAAATGCTGGGCCGCTGAAGTGGAGTGCATGAACTTAACCACTAACACCGGGCCAACCCCTCCTCATATGTTTTTGATGCACAACCAGGGTTTAAAAACACGAGTCTAGCTTGAGATTATTGAAGATGCAAGAACCACCTGCTAAAAGACAAACTGATGGTGTACAGGCGGTGGGCTAGCATAAGGCAAAAAAAGTGAGGTGTTTTTTTGGTGAGGAAGATTGGCCCTGAGCTAACATCTGTTGCCAATCTTCCTCTATTTTGTATGTGGGATGCTGCCATGGCATGGCTTATTAAGCAGTGTGTAGGTCCACGCCCGGGATCCAAAACGCTTGAACTCCAGCCGCCATAGCAGAGTGTGCAAACCCAAGTGTAACTACACCACTGGGCTGGCCCCAAAAAGCAAGCTTTTTGAATTAATTCTGTAGAAGAACAAATATGTCCCCCAAATAATGGATGTACTTTTAACTAGATTTATAAGTTCATTTTATACATTTGCTTTTATTTATATTTTCCTCATAACACTCAATTATCAATAATGTGCATCCCCTTATTACATCCTGGTTAATAATTAACTGTAAATTTACAGGTATGGAGAATAGTTGAAGGGGATCATACCCAATGCCACCAATTTTGTTGTGAGGCAAAGAAAAGACAGGATCATCCTGTTTTACTGCAGCTGGCATTGAATTAGGAGGTTGAGCATGGCAGTGAAGGTTTGAAATAGCCATGGAGAAGAACTGTGCACGGAACGAATAAGGATATTTGAAACACTAGTCTGTATGCAAGTGTGTATTCAATTGTGTATATAGTTCCTTCAATCATGGCTCTGTTACTTTTATTATTAGTGTTACAGTATTTATTATTATTTGATTATTCTAAGTCACCTCTATCAAAGCTAATTAGAAAAAGAAGGAACTGGAGGCTACAAAGTACAGAAGGGGGAAGGAGAAAGGATTTATAAAATAGATGGTTATTTTATTTTTGTAAAAGCAGTGACCCTCTCCTCTTCCACTCCCTCCTCTCCCCAAAAAAACATCAACCACTGCTTATGTGTATACGCTGCATAACATTATCCAAACATGGAAAAATGTGGCCACAACGGTTAACAGTAGTACCTCCAGGCTGGGGGTGGAACTGAGGATGGCAAAGGGACATGGAGTAGGTAAGAATAAAACCACTAGCAAAATGGAAACAGACCCATGGTATAATGCGAAGTGAAACTGACGAAATAAACACATGAACAAGGACAAGTCAACATGGACTACGTCATTTATTCAGCAAAGATTTGTTCAATGAAAACACACTGAACTGATTAGATGAATGTATTGTGAGCAACTTCTAACTTGGTATACTGTAACTTTAATACAGTTTTGGAATAAAGTAAAAGAAAACAATAAAGCAGATGTTAAGAGCAGAACTATGGATATTTGCACTATAATCTTGAGGCTAAATGGAAGACACTAACAATCATACTTTTGTGCCCAGAAAGGAGGTATATAAAGTGGCCCATCACATACTGTGGACTGGTTGTGTTACCCACCCCCAAATTTGTATGTTGAAGCCATTATCCCAATGTGACTGTATTTGGAGGTAGAGTTTTTAAAGAGGTAATTACGATTAAAACAGGTCGTAAGGGTGGGGCCCACTCTAGTATGACTGGTGTCCTTATACCAGAGATGCACGAGTGCAGAGAGAAAAGGCCATGTGAGGACGAAGCAAGAAGGCTACTGTCTGCAAGCCAAGGAGAGAGGCCTCAGGAGAAACTAAACTGCCAACACCTTGATCTTGGACTTTCAGCCTCCAGAACTGTGAGGAAATAAATTTCTCTTTTTTAAGCCACCTACTCAGTCTGTGATATTTTGTTACGTCAGCCCTAGCTGACATTTTTAAATAAATTAAAAAAAAAAAAAAGACTACATAAGGGTATGCCAACTCATTCCCCAAAAGCATGTGAGTGATGGTACTTTTTGGGGACGACAGTAGGACTCAGAGGCAGAAATCAACAATTCTGAATCATAAAACAAAAGACAATGAACTTCTGGAGAACCAGATACAAGAGGAGAAAATTCACCTTAGTCTCAATAAATCTAAAACTAAGCAAAAGAAATTTTAGTTGCTTCCTCGAAATTGCAAGTGAGGGAATTACTGAAAAGCTTCCAACAAACAAGGGATAAGTGAATGGAAATAAAACAGCATCAATTTTAGGTGCTTAAAATGCTACTGATAGTCTTCTTTAGGGCCGTGCTTCTCCAACTTGAGCAGACATCAGAATCCTCTGAAGGACTTGCTGAAACTTGTTAAAACACTAGTTAAAACTTGACGAGTTTCTGAATCTGTAGTTTTGGTGTGGGGCTCAAGAATTTTCAGTTCTAACATGTTTCTAGCTGATGCTGAAGCTGCTGGTCTGGAAACCACATTTTGAGAACTACTGACTTAGCATTATTGTATTTTAATGAACCTGAAAAGTTATTACAGGGTCTCATAGGTTCACTCCTGGCTACAGTCTCCCTAAACACTGTGCTTATAAGAAGTTCCTACAAGTCTTTAATTTCTATCTATTTGAATTCTGCCCTAAACTATTTCAAAATGTAACTTTTGTGGGGGGGGAGGCACTACTATAGTCATCATAATTAGAGTCATTTAAATCAAAGTGAAATCTGCATGGCCAACAGTTCTATGAAGTTTCAATTTTTAAATTCCTAGCTATGTATATTTAAACCAGTAAATAATGTAAGGAAATTTCACTGGCCTAAATCTTCAGACTAGATCAAAAGCTGATATCAAAACAAGTTGTTTCCCCAGGTCTTGAAAAAGGTCACTTTAAATAAGTACTTCAGATCCATTACTAGGAATGAATAAACTGGCTTTTAAGTACAAAATAAATATAATAATAATACACTTACCTTCAGCATAAGAGCCACATATGGTTCCCTGGATGTGCCTTTTGAAAGGAGAAATTTCCACAAAGTGGTTGAGCACTTGTGTCTCAGCAGTCAGTTACACACATAAACACAAACAACTTTACCGTTATGAGAGAATATTATAAAATACTGAAGATACTTTACAAACATTTTGATGACACACGTGAATGAAGTTTTTAAATTTTTGATAGCACTTGAAAACCAATGCAGAATACTGATTCTGCTCAGTAGAGAATTTAAAATCTAAACAAAAACATATTCTGACAGCTGCTTTATGCAAAATCTAACTTTACAACAGAAGTGGTACTTTATCAGTACCTCAGAAGTACACTGATACCTTTATCAGGAGCATTATATAATAGCTTAATATTTTCTTCCTCCTCCTCCATCCAGGATCTTTTGTGAGAGGCACTTATAAAGAGCAATAGTTTTGGCGACGCTATAACAAAACATACACATAATATAGTGATATATTTTACTATGCTAACAATCATTTATAAAGAAATTAAATTCAAAAATAGGTTGTTGGTAACATGATTACCTTAAAGCATTGATTTTCATTCACAATATTACTTCATTAATCTTAAACAGCAGTTCTATCTACAAAATGTTCTACAGCTTTTTCCTTTTTCAAAAGGAGGTAAATAAAAGCAGGTAAGATACTCAGAATTTCTAGTTCAACAATATCAACTTCATTTCACAGCACTGATTAGTAGAGAACATTTTCAATTAAAGTGGTATACAATTTACAAAAATAGAAAGATTATACAATGCAAAACATTGTCCTTCATATAAAGAATATGTGTGTGTCTGTATAGGTGTGTGTATGTATGTATATATATATACATATACATATTTCTTATAAGTTTCACTATTAAATAGCCCTTATTCAAGTAGCTTTTTTCTGGTATCTCTTGAAATAATCACCTTGCTATATTATTTGTAAATACATAAAAAAATAAAAGATTAATCTAAGAAAAGGTTAAAAGTTTCAGTGTGGTTGACTTAAATATCAGCCGCTCACTTTAGTGAAAACCTGATTTGAACTCAAAACAGGTTTAGGTGCCACACTAAGTTTAACAACTTAGTCAAAAATATAGATATATTTAAGTGTCAAAAACTTAGTACATTTTCAATGTGCTAACATTAGAGCAAAATTAAAAGTTTGTATTAATCTATACATCACCCAATCTTAAACAATCCCCAGACAAAATTCATTTATATAACTAAAATAATATACTAGTATACAATATACCTGCTTACAAACACGTAGGTAACCATAAATAAAACTTTATTCTTTCACTTCATTTACAAGCTACCAAGTTATGTATCGTACACAGTGCTGAACACTTAAATGGCTGTAGTCATGGAAGGATCCAGACCGAATGGAAAGCTGTAGATAAAGAAAAGATAAAAGCAAAGTAATACTGTAACAGAAAGGTGGCAAAAGCATAGTTTTGCCATAATAAGATCAATCAGATCTGTAATCATACATCAGTTTTGGTTAAAACAAAGTCTGAGCGCCATGCGATTCTCAGCTTTATTGTTTGCAGTCTGGCTAAAGTCTGTACAGTCATTTTGTCTTTGCAGTTATTAAAATTAAAAAAAAGTTAAAAACTATAGCAGCAACAAGCAAACCCTGTGACAGGAAGGCAAGGGTTAAGAACTAAAAAAAGTTTATACAGTGTGTTTAGGGGAAGTGTGGGTGCAGTTTATCTTCCATCAGCAGGAGTTCGACTGAGGGACAACATGATTCGGGCAAATCGCTCACAGAGTTCATGCGTGGAATATGAAGGTAACTTCGGTGGCTCGTGGAAACCTTTAATCTCCGTAGAACAATCGAGCAGTTTTGGCAGAAAATCTGTCAGCTTCTCTTGGAGGTTTGCTGCAAATACAAACAATTAGATGTAACTGAAGATAGAGAGAGAGGGAGAATAATTACCATCTTCAACATGATTTATTAACCTGGAGCGGTCAGTTGATGTTTCATTTCAAAATATGTAAAATAATTACCATTTTGGGGGAAGAGGTAAAATATAAATGACAACGGCAGTGTGTACAGCTTACTTTGTAAATAAGAAAACAGTAATGATATGAATGTAAAAATATTACACAATATAAAAAATGGTAAGACTAAATAACATCTAATTCTAAACTGCTTTTAATCCCAATAACTCAGGTGTCCACTAGCATTGTTTAAACTTACATTCCATTTCTTGTCCAAGATAGGAACACCATCGATTTCTCATATCTTCTACAGCAAGTATATCTTTCTCTTCCATTTCATCCACCAATAACATGGGCAAAAATGGAACAATAAACTCATTCATGATAATCAGACCATTGTTTACTTCTCGATCTTCTCCAGATTCAAACAGTTCTGCAGCTTGCTCATTTAATTTCTTAATGCAATGAGAAAAAGAACAGGTTTGTTTTCTTTTTTAATTAAATAAAAACACTTGTAAGTGTTAATACTGAAGACAACATAATCAGTATGTTCACAATCAGTATTACAACAAACGGCAATCAGGAAAACCAACCTCAACTGTTCCAGCACAAAAAGTCTTAGAAAAAGCTATGCTCATAACAATAGAAACAAAAACAAAGTGGGGAAATATTGTCGTCACGTTTTTAAAGTTCATGCTCGGCTTAAATTACTTTGCTCATCCTTCTAGGAGTCATTTTTTATTTATTCTCCAGAGGTGAACTTCCCCTAGTTCTAAAATTTGATAAACACTCAAAGTAATTTTAAAAACAAATTCAGAATCCACATTAATTTTGAAAAACTCTTCATCACCTTCTCCATAAATGTCAACTGAATAAATACTGTTATATTCCTGATACAAAAACATAAAGGTAATCAATTAACTCCTTTATTCCTTCAAAAAATACTGAGTACATGACATGTGCCAGAAATTGTTGTAGATGCGGGGTACCCAAGTGATTATACAGAAAACTCTCATGGAGCTTACAATTTGGTACAGGGATTGACAAACTTTTTCTGTCAAGGATAAGACAGGAAATATTTTAGGCTTTAAGGGCCATTATAGTTTCTGTTGCAACTACTTAACTCTGCCATTGTTGCACAAAGGCAGCCATATCTAATATGTAAATGAATGCGGATGGCTATGTTTAAACAAAACTTTATTTGCAAAAACAAATGGTAGGCAGAGCACAGGCCAAGTGTACTGACCGCTGATCTAGGAGAAGAGAGAAATTCGTGAGATAAGAAATATAGATATAAGAGATAGACAAGGAATACAGGTAAAATAAGAGCTATACTATTTAAGTATTTATGTCTGAACTCCTATGTTTATAGCATGATAAATATGATTTTTTATTTTGTTTAAACTAATTTAACACTAAATCATAGTTTTAAGCTGAATTTCAAATACAAAAATTTTATTATTTCTTATGTTTATATTATGCCATTCTTGCACAATTTATCCTGACTTTGTAGAGCGGCTTATGCTAAAAGTCCAACTCAGTAAGAAATTACCTAATTTTGAGCAAATAGGTAATCTCTTAGCTATAGTTTCTTTATACGAAAAATGGGACACCATTACCTTGCTTACATAGTAGCTAAGAGGACTAAATGAGATAAGTCTTGAAGTATCTAGTATAATTTTTACAATATGTATTCAAAGACATACTAGTTGTTATTAGTATCAAGAAATTTAATGTTAAGTTCACTGAATCAAAACATGTCCTAGAACCAACTTAAATATAGTACATTCAAAGCCAATCTTATTTATTCTCTTAGGAGTCCCCAAAGCCAAACACAAAATGAGAACGTTAGGCAGATTTGACGACCCTACTTCCTTCTTTCCACTTTTCCAATAGTTACCAGGTCCCTCGACTTCATTTCCTTCAGCACCTTCTATAGCTTCTTCATACCCATTGTACTTCTGCCTTCCTTGAGACTCTCACCCTCCTTCCCCTGTCTATCTCTCCAGGATGCTTGACTTCAATCTCTACTCCTTTCCAGTCCATCTTCTAGTATACTACTGCCAGAATTATTTTCTGAAAACAAACTTGATCATGCCAAACCTAATCAAACCCACATTGGTGCAAACTCATTAGAATGGCACATAAGCTTCTTCCGAGTCTGACATCAATAAGTACTGTCAACTTCATCACTTCTACCTAACCTTGCTCCTCATAACCTAGCCACGATGGATTTATCTTCATTTTCTGTCATATACTTTCCATGCCTTTTCATATGGTGTCCCTTTGACTGGAATGCTCTTCTCCCTTCTCTGTAAGTCATAATACTCCTATTTATCCATCAAGATCCAGATCAGTGTTCATCTTGTCTCTCAAGGTTCTCCCCAACAATTCCAGGTGTATTATTTTGCATATTTCTCATAAGGACACTTATTCTAAAACATAAAAGTTATTTGTGTACATCTCTCACCAGACTGAGTTCCCTGAGGGCTGGAAATGGGTCTTACGTATCTTTATATCCCTCAGAATCTGAGGCTCAGTAAATACTCAATATGAAAAAACCTGAAAGGAACACTAAAATAATTCTCATGAGGTTTCATTTAAATCCCTATGTAAAATGACAAACTAAGTGTGGCTGGTTTACTGTAAAAAAAAAAATGGTAAGAGAAAGTCTACTACTTTTTAATGTTTTAAAGTAACCATCAAGTTTTCGTTGCATTTATGTTTAAAATAGCTTTACCAAAATATTTCCATATCCCAAGCCTTCAACGGTTTTATGTTAAAAATTGCTTTAATTCATTTAATGCAAAATTTTATATGTTTATATAAAATTGTATATATATTTTTAAGCTGAAATATATATAATTCAGGTCTTCCTTCTCAGGAGTTGATTAAAAACCTTAGGAAACTGGCCAAATTGAGAATACCATCCTTGATGGAAACGAACTGCCAATAATTCAAGTTTTGAAATAGACTTGTGGAAATTAATAAAAGAAATCTTAATTAAATGGGAGTCGAGAAGGCCTGTAGGAGCTCTCATGCCCTATCATACATCGTCAAGTACATCAAACAGGAAGAGAGGGAGGCTTCCATCTTGGACAGGAAGTAAAATTACTTTACTACTGAAGGAAGATTTCTCTCTCTACCTGGCAGCAGCCCAACCAATGAGAAATGCCACAGCTTGGCCAATGAGAAGCTGTTGCTGCCCTGAACTGTTACTTTCCCCCAACAGACTTTCATTTAGAACAGCCCCTGCTTACTCCCCTTTTTTCTCTATAAAGGTAGCTCCCCTCCTTTGTTGGATTTGCCTTTGGTTTGCCATAGCACGCACATCCAGAATTGCAATTCTTATGGCTATTTCCAAATAAACCCATTTTGAGATAAAATAACAGGCAAATTTGCTTTTTAAGTTGACACACTGAAATGCAGTAAAATCAGCTGAGAGAAAAATAATAAGATTATAACCTGCTAACATTCCCATTTAAAAATTTTAAAGACATATTAGAGACTAGAGTTAGCATATACCATATAGTTCTACTGAAAGAAAACATTTCACCAGCATACCTAAAGTTTTTTCAAGTACACTTAAACCATGTAACTTACATAGTTTCAAAAATCATACACTCTTAAATACCTTTCTCTCTATTTTTTTTTGTGAGGAAGATCGGTCCTGAGCTAACATCTGCCAATCCTCCTCTTTTTGCTGAGGAAGACTGGCCCTGGGCTAACATACATGCCCATCTTCCTCCACTTTATATGGGACGCCACCACAGCACGGCTTGACAAGTGGTGCATCGGTGTGCGCCCGGGATCCGAACCGGTGAATCCTGGGCTGCCACAGCGGAGCACGCGCACTTAACCGCTTGCGCCACCAGGCTGGCCCCGTCTCTATTTTTTTTATAGAAAAAAAATTGCAACTTAGGAGTTTACAATATAGACTAGAGTGACGTTAATAGTTAATTAAGAATGAAATCTAGCAGAAAAAAGTAGTATAAGGATGGAATTGGTGATTTTATACATAAAGGTAAGTTGACTCAAGGAACATTAACAAAGTACTCCAGACATCTAGAGAGTAAACTGCTGCAAAAAAACTGCTAAATAGATTTTAAAGTTACAATAGTACTATTTCAGCACATAGATAGTGAAAATATTTGAGGAAAAATATACCAATGATTAGGTGAAAAAAAAAGGATACTATATTGCAATGAATCCTTTGATATTATGTACACCAAATATACTGCTATTCATAAAAACTCAGAAAAATCTATTATTTTTCTGGAATAATAATAATGTTAATTCCTCATGCTCTATGCAGCTTTTCCTCTCCTATCAAAAAAGGGAACTGTAGAACAATGAAGAAATCTAAATATAAAAATGTAATCACTGGGCCAGCCCCAGTGGCCTAGTGGTTAAGTTTGGTGTGCTGAGCTTCAGCGACCTGGATTCGGTTTCTGGGCACAGGTCTACACCACTCGTCTATCAGTGGCCACCGTGTGGTGGCAGCTCACATATGGAAAAAAAAGAGGAAGACTGGCAGCTGATGTTAGCTCAGGGTGAATCGTCCCCCCCCAAAAACATAATCATTCTGATGCCATTTCAAGAACATTTCTGGTTTATCATCTGCAATACTTAGACTCCATGAAGAAGGGATAAAGAATTGAGTGTATTCTCCCATCTTAAGGGAGCAGACCCAGATCACAGACATCATCATGACACTTACCCCATCAGAATTTAGAGTCAATCTCTTATACACAAGTCTGGAAAATCTGCCCAATGTAAGACAAAATGATAAAGTAAACACATACTATAAGCATTCAACTTACTAGTAAACATTCTCTTCTATAATGTGATAACAATTCTTCATCATGTCCTCTGTACTGGCCTTTGGACAAGAGTTCTTTGTTATTCTGATAAGCACAGATAAGGAACAGCAAGGAATCTATATAACTTAAAAATTAAGAGAAACATAAAGCATTAGTATTTCATCTTTATAAAAAAAAGTCAACTACAATTATAAAACACTTTAAGAATACATTTAAATTTTGGTTATCCAGAACATTACAGTAAAAAAAATCATCTGATGTACTGTATGTCTGAGAGCATCCTTTTAGCAACAGCTGCCATCTGAAACCAGTAGTTATGTCTTAGAAGTAAAAAACAGAGCCAGCCCTGACGGCCTAGTGGTTAAAGTTCAGCGTTCTCACTGCTTTGGTGGCCCAGGTTCATTTCTCGGTTGTGGAATCACACCTCCCGTCTGTCAGTTGTTATACTGTGGCAGCGGCTCACATAGAGAACTAAAAACTAACAACTACAATACACAACCATGTACTGAAGTTCAAAAAAAAAAAAAGTAAAAAGCAAACAAGCAAACAAAAAAATGGAGCTAAGAATTAAGAAAAGACTGGGAGAAAAAGGCCATTACTGATGACTTCAAAATAGTTCCTTCTGTTTTCTTTGGTATTCGTTTTCCTGACATCTTCCATCTAGACTCAAAATTAAGACTGATGCGAAAGTCAACAATCTACATTTCAACAATATAATCTCATTTTTGTTTGAAGAAAGGATCAGGTTAGTTTGTTTCTTTATCACAAACATCATTTGGCTCATTCAGTGACTATTTAGTCAGGTTTTTTTCCATGTGCAGGCACAGTTCTAGTCACTGAAAAGAATGTGATAGTCAGAGGGGAGAATATCCAAAGGAGACAGGGGAAGGGGAAAAAGGGAGGCATGCTTCCCAACGTGGGAAATCTAGTGGGATGCAAACAAACAAAAAACCCACTAACATAAAAGGCTGGAAGGGGTAGGCCTTTGTTTTATATTTAATATAAGTAATATTAAGGTGTTAATATTAATGTTAAGTCCAGACGTTATGGTCTTCAAACTAGGTTTTAAAAAGGGAGGAGGGGAAAAATATTTGAGTGCTATACTTGCCTCTAAAATAATTATCCTTCTCCTAACACGCTGTCGAAAAAATACATACAGCTACATATTTGTATAACTGAAATACGAAAAATATTTTAAGATATCTCCTTTGTGTCAGTTTTTCCAGTCATAACATATCTTCTCCTAGATTAATTCAGAAAAATATAACATCCTAAAAGGTACAAGATTGTAAAGAAACACTATTTTAAAACTCTACGTTACACTGCCTGCCAATCAGTGTTAGTTTGTTAATTTCATGTGCTTCAGATATAAATCACTTTGTTACTCCAAATGTTAAATATAGAATTATTTGGAAATTAATGTACACATTCATGACAAATCAAACTATGCACCTGAAACTATTTCATGAAAAACAAATTATTTTCAACATTTTTAAAAATGGCTTCTCCCAGGAATTTGTTTTTGAGAAAACTTAAGAGTACGACATTTTATCTTGAAATAATATGCATAATCCCAGCTTAAGATTCTATGTTTTATTTATGAAAGAAAAAAAAGAAGGGCATGATAATAACATTAAATGTTGTTTTCTGCTACTAAGTTAAGGTAGTTTGCTAGCACGGTTACCTTCTCTTGTATAGCTATTAAGTTTCCAGTTAAAAAGGCCTCCCTGAATGCCATTCATATCTGGCCTTCTAGACCTGAGTCACCTCTCTGAAAATAGCTCTGAAATCATGACTTTGTTCCAATTTTCTACTGAGGAACACAAAATGTTCCACATTTTATCAACCTTTAAAGTGCTTACAAATATATTTTCACATAACTCAGAATAAGATTCAGCAGTCCAGTTACCACATTCTTACTTAAGATAAAATAAGACTATGTAAGCCTGGTAAGACTCTCTTTATCTTTACTTATACTACTATAAAATTATGATTCCTAAAAATATGATTTCACTTCACTACTCATAGACTTGACAATGGTCCATCAATAAACATTCCATTCAAGGCTTTCAAGTGTTATGTTTTCATTAAAAACGAGTTTGACAGACCCTTTTGGCAATACTTTATACGCTGCTAGCTATGGTAAACTGCTATATTCAAAGTGTAAAATTAACATTTCTTTTTACAATATTCCATAAATATTGTCACCATTACTAATTTTCTAGTTGATGTTTCCAATTTAACAAACATTTGCTATACTAGAATATTCACTTTCCAAACAAGTACATTTGAGAATAAGCAAATTATGAAATTTAACTATACTTCCAAGTTATATCTTAAAGTCCTTCAACAAACGTTAACTAAGAAAAACTAATTTAGGAGTAATGCAGAGAGCAAGAAAGTCACAGTTTCATCTTTTTAATTTTTATTGAGTGAGATAAGTGAATACTTTTTGTAATTATCTGATTTCATTAAATTATACAAGAATACAGGTCTGTACTTCAATTTTTCTCTCCCTAGTTAGTTGTGTGACTTTGACAAAGTTTTTGTATCTCTATGGAGCTTAGTTTCTTTATTTATAAAATGGAAATGCCTTTTTGATCTTAGACACTCTATTTAACTGTAAGATATTAATATTTTTCTCAGAAAAAACAATCTCAGATATCCTAAAGTGAATCTGAATATTCCTATTAAAGAAACAAAACTTTGGCCAAAACAATAACTCATAAAATGGAGCTACTGATTATGTTTTCTACTTCAGTGACCAAAGTGACTTACCTTATAAATTACACAATGACTAGGACTTTAATAATTTGTATCCAAGTAATAACATTAATTTTGTGTGATAACTTTAAAATTTTGATAAGTGTAAAAATGACAGCATTGTGCACTGTCCAAACAGAACTTTCTGCAATGATTAAAGTGTTATATTTGTGCTGGCCAATACAGTAGCCGATAGCCACATGCGGCTACTGAACATTCTTAATGTGGCTAGCGTGACAGAGAAATACAGTAGCCGCTAGCCACATGTGGCTACTGAACATTCTTAATGTGGCTAGTGTGACAGAGAAACTAAGTTCTTAGTTTTAAAATTTTAACTAATTTAAATTTAATTGTCATACGTGGCTGATGGCCACCATGCTGGACAGCATAGCTCTAGAAATAACAGTCCATGTTGTCATTTAAAAAAAATAGCATTATTACCTCAGTGGAGGTTTCTCACACTGTATATCAAATAAAGGAAAAGAAAAAAGCAAGGAAAAGAAAAAAAATTCAATATCCTTTTTACTTGGCTGCAATATTACAGTATATTTAAAATACAGCACGTTCCAAAAAAAAATCACTAGTCAAGTAAATTAATGTTAAAGGATATGAAGTACAAAATACATGAATAATAAGTAAATGCAAACTAGTGAATAATCTGTAATGGTAAATTATAGATTTATTAGTAACAATTAAAATACTAAACAATAAAATAATAAATAACAATATTATAGTTTAATAAGTAGAAATTCCATTACAACTTTTAAAACCATCTGTAACCTAAACAAAAAATAATCCAAAATGTGTTTGCAGTCAGAATACTTAGAAGACACATGATCAGTTTTCTACAGCTATATTTTTTACAGCAACTGGAAGTTTGGACAAAGAGATAGAATGGACTATCTCTGATTGGAAGTCAAGATTAGACTCAGAAAGAATATGAACAAGGTTGGTGACTGAAGGCAGATGGTAGGGAACACAAAGAATTCCACGTGCTGGACTACTAGCTTCTTTGGTCCCCAGCAAACTTCTAGGCTTCAATCTAATCCTATTCCATCCTAAGCTTCAACTGTAGTGTTTGAGAGCTGATAAAAACAAAGACACTAATGCCAAACTTATAGACTTAAAGTGGAAAATATATTGCATGTGGGGTATATGAGAACTCGCTGTACTAACTTTGCAATTTCTCTGTAAATCTAAAACTTTTTTAAAATAAAAAGTTTATTTAAAATATACATTGTAGATAAAATCTTTTCTACAGATGAGATCATGTCTAAATACAATCAAGTACAAAAATTAAGCTCTTATTTTCATATTTGTCCACTTTGCCTTACCTTTCTCTTTGAAAATTTTCTAGCCCAATTATGAGATACATGGTTGTTTCCCTGAATTTTCTATAATCCTGATGCCACTCCTGTAAGTGAAAGAAAATATCAGAAGTATGCAGAGTAAAATTTAAAACTGTTCATAAAGTAATACATTGCTCTGATAACTATTTGAATTAATAGAAGCAAAGAGTTCAAAATTAAGATAAACTAGACCTAAATCAAGACTTTAATTTCTGACAAACAAGAATATTTATTAGTATAATAACCGATGTAAAAATTATTAGACATTGATGAGGAATTAAATAACAAAGATCTCACTAGAAGACAACAGAAATACAAAGGCAGGATAATCAATCAGGTTCTCTCTCAAAAATTCTTCAGTATAAACGCATATGATTAAAATATTATTATAGATCTACATCACATTGAATGTAGGAAGTAAATGGAGTTACTACACTAATATGAGTCAACATTGAAGACTGTTACTTGATACAGAATTTTAAGGAATTAAAAGAAAAAAAAAGTTACATCATAATAAATTTATTTAACCTTTTAATTTTGCCAAATTTGTGCTAAATTTGATTTTAAATGTGGTAGTTGAATAGTTCATTCATCTGTGATATGGTGAAAAGGACAGAAGCATTTCAGATTTGAACTGCCTCTCCCTCCAAAAAAACCAATTATAGGGCATATGGGACTAAAACAACTCAGAGCTGACATCCTATAACTCCAAAAAACAACAAAATCAAAATTTTTTCTTGACTTATTTAATAAAAATTGATTCAAGGAAAATCATAACTAAAATTCAATACAGGATTAACCTGAAACAGATACAGATTAATAAGTGTTAAAATTTTTACATACACATTATTGTAAGCAAATTAAAGTAAATAACATATAGACCCGTTATTGGCCAAATATATTCTCCTTGAATATGAAACATTTAAATACTTTTTTAAATTTTTAATTTTGATTTTTTGAGGCATATTTTTCATACTATTAGTAAACCTTAATAACACATGAAGATAAAATTTGTCTTGCAAGTATAAAGTTAGCTTTCTTGGGTAAAGTATTCAAATTGTCACTCTACTGTCATTCGAATTGCTTTAGAAGCTGTGGTAGGTAAACTTTCTGTAAAGGGCTAGACAATAAAAGTTTTAGGCTTTGCAGGCCATTCATTCTCTGTTGTAATTACTCAACTCTGAGATCGTAGTGTGAAAACACTAATACACAATATGTGAACAAATGGCCGTGTTTCAGTAAAATTTTATTTATAAAAACAGGTAGTGAGCTGGATTTGGTCTATGGGCCAAAGTTGCTGATCCCTGACTTAGAGCAAGACATGCAGGACATACAGAATCCAAAAACATGTCTTGTAAATACCTGTAGATTTAATGGCTCTGCAGTAAGAATATGAGAATTTTTCAGAATAAGAATATGCTTAATCCAATCTAATGAAGCAACTTTGGGGAAGGACTGCAGAATCAAATCACAATTAACAATCAAGTCCCACGTAACTTGAATCTTGGGGACAGGGGTAGTGAGTAACCAATTTGCTTGCCATGTCTGGCATAGGTCACGTGTCCATTTATTTGCAGATATGTTCCTAGATTTTCTATTCTAATTTACCTATTCTTATGCTAATATTATTATAAAGAATAACAGCTAAGATAATATGCCTTGATTTCTAGTAGAATAAGCCTTCCTACCTTGTTCCTTTTCAAGAATGTCTGGGCTAGATTGAGATGCTTGCATTTCCATAACATTTTTGAATCAGCTTATCAAGCTCCATAAAATAACTTGTTAGAAGTTTGATAGGACTGCACTGAATCAATAAACCATTTTGGGGAAAACTGCCATCTTTACAACACCAAGTTTTCCAAACATAATATGTATATCCATTTATTTAGGTCTTCTTGAATGTCTCCTAAAGTCATGCACATCTTGTGTTAAATTTATTTCTAGATACTCCATAGCTTTGGATGTTATTGTAAACGGTGTCATTTTTTAAAATTTAATTTTCTGATTGTTACTGGTATAATGGAATAAAATTGGTATTTGACATAGGTTTGCATGTTGCAAAGCTCTCTTACTAGTTTCAATAAATTTATCTGTAGATTTTGTTTGTATTTTCTAGGCATAAAATCTGCAAATAATAACTTTGTTTCTTCTTTTCCAACTTTTTACTTTTTGCTTATTTTTGTTGCCTTACTGTCCCACTTGAACTTCCAGTACAATTCTGAATAGAAGTGGGGATAGCAGACATCCCTGTCTTTTTCCTGATCACAAAAGGAAAGCTTTCAATGTTCACAAATCTATGTATTTGCTGTAGTTTTGTTGTTTTTTTGAGACACTCTTTGGCAGATTAAGGAGTTACCTTGTATTCCAGGTTAGCTAAGGGTTTTCATCAAAAATGAGTGTTTTTCTATATCTTTCCTCTTACTTGTTAATGTGGTCAATTACACGGATTATTTAAGGGGATCTAAAGTAATTAAGTTTGTAAATGGGACCAAACATTAATCAAAGGCACACATGAAATCAACTTAAAATTTACTAGATTTATAAATTTAAAAAGAATGTACAAATTTAAATTTAAAAGTATGAATAAATACTAGGTGTTTGAACTAGTAAATTTAAAAAAAAAGTATAAATTTTAAAGCCAAAGTTAATACAAAGAGAATTCCGTGCAAAGAAATTACCACAAGCACAATACGAGTGCTCACACGCGTGTTCTCTCTCACACAATACACCGTCCAATAATGACAAATACATACGGCATACAATGATTAAAATGAATTTTTAACTTCCCCTTTGATGAAGCAAACAAAAAAATATACAGCATGTCTTCAGTGTACTAAAGCATTTAAGGATGCAGGTTCTGCTGACCAAGTCGTAACCTGCGAGCTGTGAAAACTCTGGGCAGGTGACTTCACCCCCCTACGCCTCATTTTCTCGTGTGCTCAGCTGAGCTGAAATGAAAGGAAGATCAGTGGACTACAGAATTCCTCAGTCTACAGTTCAACCTCTCGAAAGACACATTACCTCATATTCCTCCAAGTTTACTTCTTCAGGTTTTATCATTTCAAGTTTGGCTTGAGCAACTTTCATTATGTTGTGACACCTTCAAATAAAAGAAATGTACTATTCATAACTCAAAAGCAAAATCTGTAAAAACTGAAAAATGTGTGTGACATAAAACTAAACTACCCAACACATATGAAAATGAAATCCATTGTCACTGAGCAATACATACTTTTTTGAGGAGATAACTCCTGAATAACCTTACGTGAAAAATGTCTTTTTTGGACCAATGTTGGATAGTTACAAAGTATATAAAGAAGATAGCATCAGTAATTCTAACTCAAATTTGCCATGTTATACTTACATATGGCCTTTAAATCACAGTCTAATAATAAAGATTGCATAAGTAAAAAAATGAAATGTGTTTTTTATAATGTCTATCTATAAGCAAGCTCAACAGACATTAAATTTTATTTTCCCCCCAAAGGCATTATTCACAAATAGTAAAAAGGACTACAAAATGTGCTTATCATTTTAGTAAGAATGGAAATATTCTGACAGATTTATCACCAGCATCATTACTAAAGAAATCCACACAAAATATATTTAGTTACCACATGTATCTTACTCTGTCTTTCAAGCAGAAGAGAAATTAGGTTATCAAAACAAATTGACTATTTGCAGTCCACAGGAAAAATAATTGCAAAAGATTGAAAAGTCAGTGTGATTACTCCATAAATATCTTCCCCAAATTCAATAGCATATATTCATTGGAACATACTGCATTGACAACCCAGATAATGAGGGTCTGAGCTCTTTGTAGTCTAATGTAACAAAATAAGTGATGCCCACACTACTACTAATAAAAACAATAGTAGCCAACATTCACTGAGCATTTCCTGTCTACCAGATCTTCAAAACCATTTACTCGTACTATTTCACTTAATCCTAAATTTCACAGATCCTAAATTTCACAGAAGACACACAGTAAGGCAGGAATTATTCTTAAATGCTTTGTTTTTCCTCATATACTCTTCCACCACACATTTTTAATTCAGAATTTTTGAGACATTCATATAAAGATCATCATTTACTTTAGAATTAAAATGTGACTACATTGAACTCTAAGATAAATGTTTCTGTATTCTAAAATAACTTTTAATACTTTGGATCTTTATCTGAGGCTTAAATTTTCTTAAAGGTATTCATTCTAACTAGATTAAATTTTATTTTTTAACACTGGTAAATAGTTTTATAGGAGTTTCTAAGAGAAAACATTTTTGGGTAAACCAGAATTAATTTAAGCATTCTAAGGCTTCTCTTTATGCCAAAAGATGTTTAATTACTTCATTTGTATATAGGATTAAATATTTTTCTCCAGTGATTCTCAAACATGGGTGATTTTGCTCCCTAAAGGGAATTCTGGCAACATCTGGAGACATTCTGGGTTGTCATCACTTGGGGGAGTGCTACTGGCATTTAGAGGGCAGAGATCAGGAACACTGCTAAATATTCTACAAATTATAGGATAGTGCCCTACAACTAAGAATTATCTGACTCAAAATATCCATAGTGTAGAGATAGAGAAATTCTTTATTTCTGTAAAATACTGAGTCCCAAAACGGCAGTGACTATTTTATACTCTTCTGTGTATCCCTATATTCCTTAGCTCAGTACCTTGGTTCACACTTAAAATGTACTAAAATGATCTAAGTTATTTTCAGTTCAAATTTTAAAGGTCATGACTATAAACTCCAGAGAAATTACAGAGCAACTGTTCAAATTAAGTGAAGCCAAACTTTGTGCTGTATTTACCGAAATATGTCTTTGTGTATGTGTAAAATGAACATTCAAAAATTGCATTGGGAGCTATAAAAAGACAAGGACAGCCCGAGCATAGGAATTAGATATTTCACATTTTCAAATTACCTTTCATCAAAACTCAAATTTCTATCTCCAAATTGTTCTAGCAATGTTTTCTCAATGATTTTCTTTGGTGCCTGGTTCTGGATAAAGTAGACCACTACATGATGTAAACGATAATCTGTTTCTGGTGGGGTATCTTCTTGGCTCAATTTAACCAATCTTGAATACTCCAACTTAATTGCCTAGAAAATGCAACAAAATGCCAATTTGGGTTAATTATAATAATTAAAATTATTCAATACTATAACTTTAATTATTCTTGCATTCAAATACACTTCTTTCCTTTTAAAGTATTACAAACTAGGTAGTACATCCAAGAATATTGTCCCATGTTCCATAGTTTAAAAGAATTTCCAAAAACCTGACCACATGTGCCCTCCTTACCCCTTCAGTATATAAATGATCTTTTTCCACACAGAGAAGTGGTAAACTAAACAATACATCTAAGCTTACTAGGGGAATAGTTTTGTAAAACTTAGAGCCTGGTTAAAGTCTATTCAGCGGCATGCTAACTGAGATACTAAGTACATCCTATCCTATACTTTCTAGTGTCAGTCTGATGTACATCTCTAATATTCCAAATTCTAGGATTGAAATACAGCTCCCTAGAATACTCATATCTGAAAGAAAATGGCTGGCTCTTGAATGCATAATAATACCACTACAGTTAACTTTTAGCTGAATAACCCACAAATAAGGGATGAAAAAGCAAACCTTGAGATTGTAGTTACCATAGGATGATTTCCTTGTTGCTTCAAAAATATTTGAATTTTATTAGTGTAATAATTATTAATGAATATTATCACTATTACTATCTTAACGCTTGAGCTTACTTTTTTTCTAAACAGAAACACCTCAGAATTTACAACTAATTATAATGGGAAATAATAAATACTAATACATATTTCCCCATATGAGCAAATGATTTGGAAAACATCTGCTCATATAGAAACATATGCAGAGTTATACATCAAATATTGCTGTATACAAGAATCCCATATGATTAAAGGTAATACTTTTTAAAATATTCATTTATATTAGACTCATATCTAAATTCTAATTCTATTAACCATAAAACATTTTGGGACCACATGCAAAATATATTACAAAAAATCCACTCTATTGGAAAGGATTTCTTTAAACAATGCATGCCTTTCTTAAGCAATTCTTGGCCATCCAAATACACCTAGGTGGCTGTATTTTATAGAAGAGAGAAAACATAACTAACAAACAATACATGAAATATTCTAGTTACATATCCTTACATTTCATTAAATGGAAGGCTAATAAGTTTATATAGCATAGCATTATAAATAGAATAAGATAATTACTTTATAGCTAAAATAAATTATTCCAACTTTTTTTTTTAGGTTACATATGTCATTCTAAAGTCTCATTCCTGTGGTTAAAGTCAGCCATGAAAATTAACTATATTTTGACATATAAGATTATCAAGGCTCACTTCCCGCGTACCTAATTAGCACACAATAAGCTTTGCTTAGAATTCTTTGAAATATTCCTATATTCCCAATTTGAAAAATAAGGGACATATTCATTTAATAACCAAACTATACTGAATTTGAGAATAAATGCAAAACAAAAATAATTAGTAACTGTTCTTCCTTATTATAGCCCTAAGACAATGATTGTCATAGGCTATTACAAAGTTTTTTGAATTTTCAAATATTTCAGATATCATGCTTTTGGCCAAACTTAGTATGACCAAATAAAATAAATTTGTACTGACTCTCTTAAAATAATATTGTAGGTTTAGAGATAAGGAATTATACTACTAAATGGTTATCCATTCTCCTACCTTCTTTCAAAATAGAGGCTGTGAATTTATTATAAATAGCAAATAGATTTCTATTATAGAGCTGGCATATATATCCTCTCCCACTCTAAGATTATGTTTATCTCTTGATTTTGCTCTATTTAAGATTCTCCTGGGTTGGCCCCGTGGCTTAGTGGTTAAGTGCGCGCGCACTCCGCTACTGGCGGCCCGGGGTTCAGATCCCAGGTGCGCACCAACGTACGGCTTCTCACCAACGTACGGCTTCTCCAGCCATGCTGAGGCCACGTCCCACATACCGCAACTAGAAGAATGTGCAACTATGACATACAACTATCTACTGGGGCTTTGGGGAAAAAAGGGGAGGAGGATTGGCAATAGATGTTAGCTCAGAGCTGGTCTTCCTCAGCAAAAAGAGGAGGATTAGCATGGATGTTAGCTCAGGGCTGACCTTCCTCAAAAAAAAAAAAGATTCTCCTAATTTTTACAAGTAATGTGAAAGTTACAATCTATAAGTGTTCAAACCAGTAGAGGTAGAAAGGCATGTCTAAATTTCTAGGAGTAATTTTTCAAACACAAAAACACACTTTTTATCAGCATAAATTCATTTCTCAATTTTTTTTTTATTTATGAACTTTCCTCAAGAAGTTTTCTGACTTTTAAGATATACTGCAATCATATCTATTCTCTCAAATTTTAAATAGATGTTCTATGCTGGTATATTTAGCAGAGCTCTACACAATTTATTGTTATGACTAAAGTTGACACTGCTGACTTGTTAAATTTGACTCATACTATTCCTCAGAATCCTGTTCTAGAATTACGTTTGTCCTTTCCACACTTTTTGGCAGCCTATGAAGGTAATTATTTAAGTTAATTATCAGAGATACTGCAATAAAACCACCACACGTTTACAAAATGAAATGTGATGAAACTGCTTTGCATTTCATTTTTTAACTTCTTTTTCACCAGACCTTTAACATGGTCCTACTAAACAGGCCCACCGTTACCTAGTCAGTCTTATTTCCTATTACTCTTCAACAAAGACCTCCTTCCACCTCACCTCGGTGAGGCTCATCTCCCCACAGATGAACACGTGCCTTTTTTCTTAAGTTCTCTGGATGCATGATGTCCTTTCTTGTTCATTCCCCATCTATCTACAGATGACCAATTCAATAAGACTAGTTTAAAGTCTCTCTCTCTTTTAAAACCATCTTCAGTTCTAAAGATCTAAATGAGCTCTACCTGGACTTTTTTCTACTTTTCCAAATCATATTATAAAATCATATTCTAAATTTATAACTTTTTACAAACTTTATTTTGATGTAACTATACGTATATGTTAGAAGATACCAAATAAACAAACATACAATGTACTCTGGAGGCAGTTAGATCTAAGGAAAAGTTGGCCCGACTAAGATTCAGAAAGCTAGGTATACCATTTACTAATTGTGACATAAAACAAGTCACATAATTCTCTAAGTCTGAATGCTCTTATCTCTAAAATAAAGTTAGTTGAGTTTAGAGAGTGTATATACATGAAATGTTTATGGACAATTTTTAAAAAACTGACAGTGTACCAAGAGATGAAGAAAACCTACTTTAAATTCCTGAGAATCAGAATCACATAAGCTATATTCTTTGACCACAATGCAATACAAATAGGAATTAAAGATAATTCCCAAGTTAAATACTTCAGAATTTAAAATTAAATACTGTTCTAAATTATTCTTGGGCCAAAGGAATCAAAATTATATTAATACTGGGAATGAGATATCAAAACCTATAGGATACAGCCAGACTGGCAAAGGAATAACAAACTTAACCAATATAGAATAAAATTTATTTCAAGAAGCTAGGAAAAGAAAAAAAATAAACGAAAATAAAGAAGAAGAAATAAAATAATGTGGCAACTGGATAAAAATTATCAAAGGCTTTTTCTTTCCAAAAAGCTGGATGGAAGACCAAAAAATGGAAGAAAAGTCAACACCAGAAATGAGGAAGTGGATAATATCAAAATACAGAAAAAAAGTTTTAAAATTTATAAAAGAATAATAAATTTATTTAACATCTTGATTAAACAGATAATCATCTAGGAAAATATAAATTACCAGAATTGCTTTAAGAGGTAGGAAAACTGAAGACTCAGCAAAACTACAGAAGAACTGAAAAGTTTGCCCAAGATCTGTACCCAATAAACGAATCAGGCCCACACTGTTTTAGAGCTGTGCTGCTATGTCAAATCTTCAAGGACCAGATGATTTCTATGATATCTAAACTGCCCCAAAGGCTGAAAAAGGGGATAACCAAGCCTAGGATAATCTGAATATCAAAAATTGACAAATATAAAAAAAGAAACTATAGATCAATTTACCTATGAACATAGATGCCAATATCTATATCTATTTTTGATAAACTACACTGTGTACAAAAACAATATATAGGAATAGATAGTGTTTACAATGATTTACAAAGAAAAAAAAAATCAATGATCTTTACATTCCAAGGATTAAGGAGAGATCTGTTCAGCATCTCAAATAGATGCATTAAAAAACTTCTAAATTCTAACACCAGTCAGTTTAAAAGAAAACTCAACTATGAATTTAAGAAAGTGTTTTTAAATTTATGAGGGATCTATAAAAAACAAATACTACACATCATACTTAATAATAAAACACTAGAGATATTCTCATTAAAATCAGAAACTAGACAAAGGAGCTTACTACTATTATTTTAACTATATTCTGAAAAGTCTGATCAACATTAATAAAACCAGAAATGAAATAAAAAGTATAATGAAAATTATCCCAATAATGAGATAATTATTGGGAGACAGTTTACTGAAATAATCGAGAAAGTCAACTGAAAAATTATTAGAAAACACAAAGAGTTCAATGAGGTAACTGGATACAACATGAATACATAAAATTAATTTGCTCTCCCACTACCTACCCTATCAACAGGAATGAATTAAACAACAAAGCTATAAGGCCATTGTGAAGTAAAATTATAAAACCTTACTAAAGGACATAAGAAAGGACCAGATATTGAAGAGGCATATCATGTTCCTTTTTGGGAAGATTCAAAATACTAAAAAATATAATTCTCCATCTTACCCTAAATTAATGCAGAAATATAACGCAGGTACAAATTCTGAAAAGATGTGGGAAGGTGGCAATGGATTCCAAAAATCATCAAAAAAGAAAAATGAGACTTGCCAAACTTTTTGTTTATAAGAGAAGAAAAATGAGAAAGCGTTTTTCCTACAAAATGTCAAAATATATTACAAATGGTCCATAATGTAAATAGGTGTTCAAAAATAGAAAAATAGATCAGTGAACAGAGAGACCCAAACAGACCGGCTTATAAATGAGATTTAATATGTGATAA